ACCTGCTCAGCTTCTGTGAGATTTCAGAGGCAGACTTTTGCCAGAGGCACCCCTAATTTAAATCCTACATCTGTCTCTTTGGGACTCTTCTTCCTCGTGTTTTGCATGACTCAGAACCCATGCCTTGTCAACAACAAATGCAACATTTGTTATCAAAAATCTAATGTTTTTGTTTCAATTAAGGGTTTAAGTCTTAAAAGATGGAAAAGCCCATAGTTAATGACATTTTTCTTTGGCATTAATGCTACCCTAGTTTCCCAACATGCTGTTATAACTAAACAATTATGTTATAACTAAGTATTTCTTAAGCTGGCTATTAAATCCTAATAACCCAGTTTGACTGTGTCTCAGAGGAGCAGTTCATCACTGATGAGATCATTGTGGAAGCCAGAGAAGCTACTGAGGAAGATTTGCTGGTTGTTCACAGCAAACGCTACCTCAACAAACTGAAGGTAACACTGGTCCTTTTGTCTGTTGTTGTCTGAGCAGCTTTTGCTTTCCGCATGTTTTAAAATCTCCTTTCAAACAAGCACTGCAGTTTTAGAAAGTTCTAAAGCTCATCAATTCACTTTAATGTATTTGAAAAGTGTCAAATTAAAACAAGTGTTTTGACGTAGAAACGTGTGAGAAGCAACTTTTGAAAAATGTTTATCCGCCCGCATCCTGCACCCGGACAGTAAAGCTTTGTCCAGATATTCTGAGTGGCATTGTAAGGGTAATAGCTTCCCAGAACAGGTACCGGACAAGAAGAAATTATTTAGTTTGTATAGAAATTGCCTCAGTTTAGGATCAGGCAGCTGCTGGATGCACGTGACCTCACTGTTCCGAAACTAATAAAATACAGTTAATACAACACACAGTGACAACTGGCTGAAATAGAATTGGAGCGATCTAAAGTTTAAAATTAAAACACTTTATGGAACTGCTTTGTTTGTTTTTATGTTTGAGTTGTTTATAGATTATATAGATTTGTTCCTTCCCAGTTCCCATTTCTAAAAAGGACCTGACTTGGTTCCCCCATCAGGAGTCCTGAGAAAAAACTTAATTATTCCTCATATTTCATATTAGTTTTTCACAGATCATACTGTTAAGATCCATTGTGTTTCTTTGCAGTGGTCTCTTGTAGTGGCAACTATCACAGAAATCCCTCCTCTCCTGTTCCTGCCGAATTTCCTGGTGCAGCGGAGGGTGTTAAGGCCTTTAAGGACACAAACAGGAGGCACAATAATGGTACATATAAAACATTCTAACTTTTGTTTCTTCATATTGTTCATGGCGGATAATGTTCAGAATTTCTGTGTATCTTCCTGCTATTCGTGCTCAAGAGTTGTTTCACTGTGACACGATCCATTGCGTTTTCCAAAACATGTTCAAAATCCACAGTCACAGTTTGAGACAATTTAGAATTTCTTCACATCCCAGCAGAGCATTTCAAACAAGTAGCTAATTTCTCACATGAGATGTTTTTTGATATTGTAAGTAACACACAATTGTTTAGTTAAAGCTCTTTACTCCTGCTAAAATTTGACTATTCTGACTCTAAGGCCATATATCCAAAGAGAGCTTCGGATAGGTCTCTGTTTATTCATTGGATTTGAATGAAAAATAGTGTCACCCATTAACCTCTCATCCATGTATGTACTTGTATTGTGTGTGAAAAACAGCATTGTCCACTCCTTTTAGTGTTCTTGTCATACATTTGTTGCTGCACTTGTTTTCTGCACATGAAAGTGGTTTAAGAGACAGATAACTAAATCAGATTGTCGCAATTATGAGCAAGATTTTTTCTAGTTTATTTGCATCCACATAATGTATTTACAAATTATATAAGATCTGTTGTCTTGCTAAATGTTCAATTTATTCATTTCAAGTCCTTGTTCCCCTCAGACAGAGTGTTGTGTTAGAACCAGGCCCAGAGTGTAACATACTTGCTAATAAGTGTTATTATTCATCCTCCAGAGAGCCAGATTGGCATTTAAGCACAGCTTTCACAGCTTGTATCTCTTTCCATCAGCTCCTCTATTCACTTGGCAACTGGGGAACATGGCACACAAGAAACATTTTTCATTCAAAAGGGAAATCCTGAATCGTCTTGACCACAGAAGCATTCACTCTGTAATATTTGATCTGAAAACACTGGATCCATCAGTTACTGAGGACCAGGTGGTGGCTTGAAGGTTGACTGGTTACTTTCAGAACAAAGTGTATTTTTTAGGAAGTGTTTTAGATAAACTTTCAGCACTTTCAAGGAGCCCCACATACCGTCTTCGTCCTACGTTGTCATGCACATCATAATTAAAGCGATGCATGTTGTAGTGGGACTATCAGAACTAAATTAGTCCCTGAGGGAAGGACATAGCACGTCAGTCCAAAGAGGAAACATGAATCCATTACTGCTTGAAGGTTTTTATTTTGACGCTTCCCTAGAACACACTTTGTGACATAATTGTGAATGGACTTGCAAGATGGAAAATAGCGTACAGGTCAACTTTAGTGGTCACTTTGGTGGTCAACAGAAAATATCGGAACCCTTCATCTACAAAACAAGAACCATAGGCAGACAGGTGATATTTATTAGGCAGTCTTCCAAAACCCAGCCACACACACACACACACATATCCAGACACACTCACTCCCCATTGTGACAAGTGCTAAACACATCCCTGCCTCTACACATGTTTAGGAAAATGATTAAACATTCAGTTACAGTATATAAGATATCCCTAAAGTCCTGGAAATCGGATGTCTCAATTACTCTTGTTCAGCCAATTTGAGTCTAGTTTTAATTTTGCAAAGGAACTTCAGTAGTTTAAGCATAATGCCCCAGATCTTGATCTTTAATCAGTGGTCATCAATCTCTAACAGGATTTGTAAGACTCAGATATTTCCCAGAATCCTTGTTGGGTAAGAAGTTGTTGGGTGAGGGATCTTTAATGAGTTAAAAGAAGGTTACAGACACAGGACATGAACTGGAAAACCTAGAGGAGGACAACACCTTATTCTTGCCAGAGAACAATGTAAAGAAAATTAAGAAATATTTAGTTGAACTGGCAAGTAGACCCATTGCTCTATCATGTTTCCAGGACATAAAATCCTGAAAGACTTAAGAGACAGAAGGTGTGAAGAGATAATCCTGACTGGTTGATTTATCAGGAGTTATGTCTGTCATAGTGAAACTTCAACCATGAAAAGAGGAAAAGCTGGGACTGCTTCACAAACACACTTGAGGGTTAAGTCTTTGTATAAATGGAAAGCTTTTTTTTTTTTTACATTTAAGACAACTTTAATTAATAGGGAGATTTTCAGGATGGATTTGTTTGCTCACTGCTTTTTCTAGATGGACTTGTTCTATTAGTTTGCTTGGCCACAGTGTGGCACATACACTGTAGTTGGTGAGCTCAGATTTAGCAGTTGCAGTCTCATTAATACACCCTCCCTGTGACATGAGTAATTGACAAAGCTGTAAAAAGTTAATCCAGCTGCACTGTAAATTAAGGTACGCCTAGTAAATGAAAAAGTCTCAGTAGATTATTTATCAGTTAACTGCAAGAGTTCAAGAAGATTTGAAGAAGTTATTTTCTACTTTAGAAAGCGCCAGTGCAGCTCTTTCCCTGTGTGTGTGTGTGTGTGTGTGTGTGTGTGTGTGTGTGTTGTGGTTGTGCTGATCTCTGCTTAACACACAGCCATGATTAAGATATTCATCTTCTCATATCTTAGAGAGAATCAAGGAATAGATCACCATAACTGTTTCTCAGTCATTTGTTTGATTTTCCCCGTGAGGTCTTTGACACAGTGAGGTCACGGTGGGGTCCGATATTTCATGCCAGGCTGTTGTGACGCCTCTATGATGGACACATCAGTTATCTGAAAGCCCTCTACTTTTAATAACACACTGCCGGTGAGATGTCAGGAGAGCAGAGTGATTTGCAAAGTAAAGTTCAAACTATGAAAGGGCACAGAAATGGAAAATCTATTTTCAGTGAGCTCTAAGAATAACATTTGCTTTGGTAGTTTCAGTTAACCATCAATTTGAAATGTCTGGAAAATATATTCTGTTATTGCAGCCCTTTATTGTGTGGATTTATAGTAACTTTTTCTTTCATTAAAAGCAATGTGGCCTCACTCATGCATGTGGAGACATCCTGTTTCAGCTGAAATAATGTGTCTTCCATAGGCCGGAAAGCTGGCGGTGGATCGAGGGTGGGCAATAAATGTAGGTAAGTACATCTGCAGCTGACATTTTTTCAAACTTCTAAATAGGATGGTGGTTCACCACTTTTGTGAATTTCCACCCTGATTTCCTGCAAATTACATTTATACATCATACTGAAATACTTATTCGGTATTCTTTTGGCCTCCAGCCAGCAGAAGCATGCAGATGTTTGTGAAAAGTGCACCACCACTGTCTGTCCATGCCTGACCAGACATCAGGGACCTACACACTTACTGAACAGAACGGAAGAGCCCATAAGGGTGGATATTCTCTTTTGTGCTCAAAATGGAGCTAAGGTGGAGGAGTCAAGTGTGAATATTTGAGATTGTCAGTTTAAATTTAAAATCATCAGATTACACAAACAAGAAAAAAAAAATTGATTTTAATTGAGTTATTGGTATTTACTTTGTCATTTCGGCTAGTGTGCCTATCAAACCTTGTGTGCCATACACACACTTATTTTCCAAAAATGTTGCTAAATTTCTGAAAAAAGACAAAAAAATGATTATTACCATGATTATTCTTTCTAAACTTCAGGGTAATTTTAGAAAATGTCAATTAAGTAAGTAAGCAAGTAATAATTTCATGCCAACATGCTCAAAAAGTTGTAAGGTAGGCAAAGGAAGACAGAGCGTATCTATTATGTTCAACTCCAACTTTCACAGATTTCGCTGAGGATACCCACTGTTGTTCAGATTATGATGCTGGGTATTTCCATTTTAGTAAACTGCTCACAGGTGAACACAGCACAAATTGTGGCAGAAAAGTGTCAACTGGTGATTACTATGCCAGAAAAAAAGCAGCAACTGGTAATTACTGTATAAAAAAAAGAGCCAGTCCAGTAGTGCACTGCTCCAAAGAGTCAAACCACTATTGATACACCCTAAATGTCTGACCAAACAGAAGAAAGAAACCAAACAGGGGGCGCTCAGCTGTGCCACTTCAACGAGAAAGAAGCTTGAAAAAATTATTTTGTTTTTGGTTTTATTCCTTTAAAATACCAGATAATAGATAATAAAAAAATTGTTTTACAGAAACCGGGGTGTAGATAATGTAATTGAATTAAAGAATTGAGCTTTGCATTGTTTATTTCATATTTATTGAACATTAAAGAGTAATTTAATTGAATTAACTGACAAAGGTAAAATAGGAACTTTGCTACACATACAGTGTTTTTTTTTTTATATGTCACATGTTTTTAAAATGGCTTGAAGGTAAAGTGTGACAGGAGATGATGTTAGTTGGACTTCTCCATATACCTCTTCTTCTTCTTCAGTCCTGGGAGGTTGAGTTTCCTCCACACTGAGAGTTTGTTGCTTTTAGTGAGCACACTCTCCTGTGGGCAGCAGTCCTCTGTTAGTGGCTCAGGGGCCGGTGAGTCGGGGCAAGAGTCCATTTCCAGGTCCAGCAGCTCTGGGGCTCCCTGCCCGGGGCTCTGAGGCTGCGGGTCTTTAGGGGTGGTGCTGGTCCTCCCCTCACAGACCTGGTTCTGCTGCTCCAGCGGGTTGCCAGTGGCAGCTCTCAGTTTCCTGATGAGGAGCAGGTCTGCCAAGGCCCTCTCGGCATGAAATCTGTCCTGCTGCTTCATGTGTCTCTGAATTTGCTCAAGTTGCTGTTGAGTAGTTGCGTTCTTCTCTTTTTCCGCCTGGTATGCAGCTCTCAATGCTTCCAATTCATTTTGGGCTTTCATATTATTCACAATGTTTGAGATATTTTGTGAACTTTGTTGCTCTGCATCTTCTTTGACCTGTAGCAGCTCCATGAGCTGACTTATAGTGTCGAACAGTTCTTTCTGTATCTTGTTCAGTTGCATGTGTAACAGCTTTTCTTCATCAGGACTTACTGTCAGTGCCGTTTGAGTCTCATTCAGTCTTTGTTGAAGCGTGGCACTTTCACTCCTGGCGCTCTGCAGAGCTCTGTTCATCTCCTCCATCTTCAGCTGGAGCTGCTGTGCGTCTGCGTTCTGGCTCTCCAGCAGTGCAGCCAGCTCGCTGGCCTTTTCCTCCTGGCTCTTGACGCGAGTCTTGGCGCTTTGGAGTTGAACTTTCAGCCCCTCCACCTGTGAAAGCAGGGCCTTTTTCTCGGTGTCATAGCTCTGGAGCAGCTTCGCTAGTTTGTAGGGAGCCACATGCCTCTGGCTGTCCGTATCAGGCTTCATATCCCCCATTACTGCAGGTAGATCCAGCTTTGTTGTTTCACTCAGATGAGCAGCTGTTGTGTCTGTCAGGCCTCAAGAGTTTTGTTTGCATATGATTCGTTTCCATAGAAACTGCTGCGTTTTAAACTGTCCACACAATCTCTGCAGTACTGTCTGTGTTCTAAATTATTTTTTAAAAACAGTATGCTAGAAAACATAAAGGAAGGAAAGCAATAATAGACCAACTTTTGGTCTAAAGTATTGAATCAGTAAAATAAATTAATTACTAATGACAAAGGAACAGTTTTTACAAAACTGTTATTTTTGTTGCCATAACAACCATGAGCATGAATGCACTAAGGCTGTTACACACTCCGCGAAAAACCGAGAAATCTTGTTTTTTGAGGTGCTGAGGACAAGGTACATTTTATTTCCCGTTTATGTCCATCATCTCGGCTGGTTTACAGTGTGAATGCATATTTCGGCAAGCATGTACTTCTCGGAATAACTTCGGACTTCTAGAAAGGTCCACTCACTGACACCTACGTCACACCAGCGCTAAGTTTAGTTTTAATGTTCAAAAATCTTTATTTATACCGACGGAAATTGCTGTGCAACAATTGTGACTAAGATAGTGAACAATTATTTCAAGTGACCAGTGCAAAATGAAAGCAGTATTTTAAAGTACAACAAATAAGTAATAACAGAACAACCATGGACATGTATATGTCTATAAGTACTTCCGCAAGACAACCCCGCCCATAAAATATCTGACCAATCACACAACAGTTCTCCGACACCCTGCGAGAAAATAGTTCAGTTCTGCCTAGTGGGGGAAAAAAAGAAGATGCGTCAAAAACTGGTAGCAAGAACGACGTCATTTTGTTGTATGAGCAAAATACATCTCTGGCTTTTCGTGGAGTATATATATAACACTATTTAATTTACATTCCACTCATGTGAACGTGAATCAGAACTATTGCGGAGACTTTAATTCACTAATTCACTTCTCCCTTTTTCAAAAGCCTGAATAATTAGTGGCAAAACAGGTTTGAATGTCCAAACCAACTTAATAAAAAAGGCCTGATACTGGCACACCAGCACAGAATAAATAAATAGAAATTTTCTGTAAATGGTGTAGCCTTTATGTAAAAGGTGGCACTGTTTAACGGCACAATATAGTGCATCTTTTATCAGGAAAAGAACATGACCAGTTTATTAATCTAGCAAAAATCTTAAATGAAAAATGTAGTAGACAAATTTAATCCAAAACACAAACTCATGTGGAAAAGAGCAACTCCCGTTTAACAGGAACAAATTAGAAGTCTGTTTATGCATTTAGCAGACGCTTTTGTACAAAGTGACTTACAAAGTAAATTGGGTGGTCATCTAAGTTGACCAGTTAAGGAACAAAAAAGGAAAGGCAAGTTTTGTATAGCACAAAAGGAAAATAAAAACATTCAAACTTTTTTTTTAAATCAAATGAAATGCAAAGGATGCAGATCAAATACCTTCAGTTGTCACACACACAGCTATATAAACTGTGTTTAGCCTGGATTTAAACATTGTCGGAGTTGAGGCTATCCCACTACTTCAGAGGTTAGGAACAAAAAGCTGAAAAGCAGCCTCACCTTGAGCAGCAGCATTTCTGGATGTTCTGCAAATGTCTGGCAGCTTGCTCGGAGAGCCAAAACACAAACACAAGGTTGGTGACAACGGTTGAATAATTTTCCATGCAAAGACAGTGTAATGAGAAACCATTAGGAGATACTCAGCACTTCATGAGCGCTCCACCACCAAGGTAGGCTTACAGTAGTATAATTTAAAACAAATTTGAGAGTCACCTGAACCTTTGACAAATCTGACATAAGCTTCATTAAAAAAATATAAGTCTAATATGAAAGATGGAGAGGATCTCTGCTGTCCACGCAGACAGCTGCTTCTATAAAAGATAAATCCAATAAATGAATCCTCTATTTGTTGTTCAGCTCTTTGGCAAGTAACAGCCAAAATAAACACGCAGTCTGAGACTGAAACTATGTGGTCTGTAACAAACAGTGGATCTTGGTCTTTCAGAGCATTAAATGTTATATATGTCTGGGTTTCACAGTTAACAAACTGAAGCTAAAATGGGAGAAAATTGGTTAAATCTAAGCATATTTACAGGGAAAACATTTTCTACTTTAGTTGGCAAAGTATTCCTCATGTTAGAATTCCAGCTAGCGCTGTGCTAAATACTGTCAGCAATGTTTTAATATTTTAATGTTTGCTGTAGAATTTGAATAATTCTCATTTTTATCAAACCTGGTGTTCATGGTGTTGATGTTTTTTTTTCAGTGCATTGTATAAAAACTGTACGAGCCACCCTGTTTTCTTTTAAACAGGCAGCTAACAATTTAACCAGTTAAGTTGCTTTGTAAGGATCTGTATGCAAGAAATGCATAAAATATTAGAAACTGTCTGAAAATGAGGGTGTGGTTTTGATAAAAGAAAAAATCTGGTCGGAAAATTGTGGTGTTTCTGCACATTTCTGCTCCCCTTCTATGATGTGAATCCTCTCACTGTAAAAGCATTTGAGCTGGCTTCCTGCTAAACAGGCCTGCTCTTTGCTTCTGTTTACAATAACTGTCACAGATTCTGTTGTTTTTCGTTATTATAGGATGGATAGCTGAGGGGACATTAGGGTGATATTTCTTCTAATGTTGTGTTCCTTAAGATTGCCAATAATGTGTAAATGGTTAATACGGTTTTCTTGGTTAACTCGTGGTTCTGGCACTAACCTTTTACATTTTTCCAAAGTGGGCACCATACAACCGCTTTCTATTATTTTTTATTTCCATTCCAGTGTGTTGAATGTTGGCTTACTGGTTGATAGGTTGACAAATCCATGTAATGCATGTTGAGCTGCTGATTTATGTCTATGGATAGACCTTTTTCCTTTTTTGCTGGTTTGTTAAACAGCCCTGAACTGGCTTTATGCAATCATGAATTCACCAAAAACAAAGGGACTGATTGAACCATTTAAAAATGTTAAAATACACTTTTGTGTTAAGAAATAGACTTTTGTTCTTGGTTTTTATAACATTACTTGATATCTGATGTAAGTATTCCAATTTTCATAAATGTGTTAGTTCACATTAATTTCCAAACATATTAAAAATATGTTGCATACATTTAAATACCATCAGTGATTCTAACCTCCACTGTAGAATATCTATGTCTGTTGAACATAAAATTGATCAAATCTTTGCTCTTGGCTGGGGGAAGTGTTGTAAGTGTTGGTGTTACATTTCTTTTTTAACCATAAGTGACTTGGTTGATTGAGGTTTTTGACGGAGAAATGAGGGTAATTTATTTTGTGCCGAGCAGAGAAGATAAAAACTAGTGTGAAACTTTTTAGTTTGTACGTGCTCAGTTACCCAACTCCTCTTCCTGAAGAATCAGGGGAGAAGACAGTTCTGCTTCATTAAACATTATTTTAAAAAAGATAACAAGACTATTCAAATGGATTTTACATCAACGTATTTCCTGTCTTAACCCTGTCTTTAATAGGCTGTTTTGGGAAACTGGGAAAACAGTAATAATCATAATAACAATCTACTCAGAGCTGTAATTTAAAATATAGGAGCAATCGTGAGAAAATACAGAAATGAAATCCTCTCTTCCATGTCCACTGGTGCTTGTGTTGTATTTTAGTCCTAGATAAACAGTCCCATTATGGTGTTAGTATACCCGTTCATGCACCACTAGGGAAAAGAAAACACTTGATGAAATGAACAGCCCATTTGGAATAGTCAGTTAAGGGAGTTTTCGGTAATGACTTCTCGGATGAGCTCTGCTGGTGAGATGTTCCTGATGTTCCTGAGGCTGAACCTGTGTGTCCGTCTCCTGTTTTCCAGGGGGGGGCTTCCACCACTGCTCCAGTGACAGGGGAGGGGGCTTTTGTGCATACGCTGACATCACTCTGGCCATTAAGGTAAGACTCATAAAAACACAGCATGTCTTCCCATGAAAAGAGAAGTCTGAATATGAGCTGTGATCCACCATTTGATTAAAACAGAGAATCAATAGAAGCACAAATCCCCAATCTAGTTGTTTCAAAATCAAGTCCATTTATGGTGTCAATTCTTCACTGAACCGTCTCTGTCGGCGTTGTCAGAGACTTTTTCAACATGTGTTTGAGTGATTTATGAAATTCATGGATCTAGTAGCCACTATAATGCAAAAATTATGAGTTTTAAGACATCACAATTATTAGTTCAATTAATTTACGACTCACTCTTCAATTGAAAGTCACGGTCCACAACTACAATAAATAGACTAGTGAACGTCTACTCCTAAGCATTTTTCACTTAGATGATCCTAGTGGAGTTCCCAACAACTCTGCACTTTATTTGTTGATAATGTGGATCCATCAAAAGATGGAATAACTGCTTCTGTATATTTTTCACATACAAAATCACAAAATAACTTCCTGAATTGTTGGACTTTGGAAATATTTTGTATAACCAGAAATATAATTTCAAGTCTGATACAAAATCTCTCTGTGACATCTTCAACCTCATGAATGTGTCGTAAGAGGAAAACTAATCTTTTCTTCTCCATCCCATAGTTTCTTTTTGACAAAGTGGAAGGCATCTCCAAAGCTACCATCATCGATCTGGATGCTCATCAGGTGAGCCAGTGCATTCCCTCTCTCCTTATGAATGTACCCCCTCAGCTTAAGAGGAGCCATTAATGAGGAGATATCTCTGCTTCAAACCAATCAACAAGGTTTTATGTGAGCAAAAGTAATCTCCACATTCGGTGGAATAAATATTAAAAAACAAATGAGACCACACAGGCTATGATTGATGATAAAATAGGAGCAGTGTCTTCACTTAACTTTGTGAGGTTAGATAGTGATACCACTTTGTATTGTTATTTTCACATTGCTGAAGTCTATTTTTTTGTTACATATTTGAAACATATCAGAAATTACTTTTGATTAAATATTATCCACTATTACAAAATTGTGTGTATGTATATATATATATATATATATATATATGCATTAAAGTGTACATTACCAGTACGTACTTTAAAATCCATGTTTATTTAACAGGATGGTATCAAACGGCTGTTTTTTCGGTTGTTTTTTACATGACCATAAAGCGGTTTAAAGCTGTTGGCTTATTTGTTTGCTCACTGTAGGCCAAGCTTGAAAAACAGCAATGATGCTTGCAATGAGTGTTTTGTTTTACGTCAGCATAATCCATTTACTCATTATTATAGTGCACCATTATGGTACCAACATAGTACACAATGTGCTTTCTCTTCATTAAATGTCTTGTTTGTCACTGCAGGCTATCATTAATGGATTGATTTCAGTAAAATAGTCCGATCATGTAATTTTAGTGTGACATTGTTTATACTAACTCACTATTTGCATTTACCACCAATTAGCCCTGAGAATTGTGTTAGCGTGGATGATGTTTCCACATTTCTAAGGTCTGTCGGTGTGTGCCAGGTTAAACTGGTGTATTGGAGCAATAATGCTCACTGACACAAGCAGGGAATCAGTAAAGATGCTGAGTGAATAATTCATGAAAACAAACCTCGTGCAAATCTGCATGAAGGCACTCTCGGCAGATAATTGGGTACAGAGAAGAATTCCAGGAATATTAATTGGATACTTAATAAAAACCCTGTGATACCCAAAGGTGTCCTCCAACAAATGGAGACTGGCTTTATTAGCCAGTCAAAAAAACAAAACTATCAGGTTTAAACACATCAGAATAGATTTTTCTGATATGTTGGAGACATTCCCTAAGAAAATTCAGCACTCAGTTGTGTGGCTACTGATTATCTGCTTTAAATCAATCAGCACCTCGTGGTTTTGCAAATGTCAGGAGAGATAGAAGATGAAAGATTACAGGGCTGAACCAGTTAAAACTATCCTCCACACTCTCAAGGAGGAACTCATTTGCATGTGTCGTGAGAAATCTATCATTTAGGAAACATAATCCAACATATACCATAAAAAGAAGCTGTGACAGTAAAGACTTTATTGTTTTATGTTGCTATTCTGGCTGACAACACCAATAAGAATCCCATGTCATGCAGCATTTCTTTTTTCTTTTTCTGTGCCATTCGTGCTACAAACTTCATAAACTGTGGGCTTATTTTTGGTTCACTTTTTTGGTACCTTTTTTTTTTAATACATTCTCATGTCAAAACAGCAGACATGCCAGTCCTGTACCTGTACCCTTTTACACTCACCCATGACTTTATTATAATGTCAGCGGACTGTTTGTTTGTTTTTCTGAAATAATGCTGACTTCTCAAAGGGTAAATTATTACACCAATATGGATTTAATTTCTACACCAAACTGTTTTCCATTTCTTCCGAAAAAGATCTGAAATATTGATCTTTAATCTTTCTTTGGAAACTGTGTTTGATATAATTTGTTGTCAATTTGAGATCTTCTGAACATTTTTGCTCTTCTAAAACTAAACTTTTCATGGACACAGCTTTTCTACCAGATTGCCCTGCTGGAGGTACTATAGCATTTTTTAATTTTTTTTTATTTCATTACCAACATAATGTCATCTCAACTCGATCTGGTACGTGTTGATAACCTGAAATGCAAAATCGTATGGATGTGTTATATCTATGTATGATTATTTACATATAAAGAGAAATTGGTAAGAAAGGTTAATATAGGAATCACTTTAGAGTGTTTTAAATACTAGCTTTTTGAGATTTGACGTTATTTGTAAAAAGGCCATATACATAGGTACCAATAAATATTGGAACAACAAACTATAACTAAACTTGCCATCGTAATTAATGAAAGAATTCAACCCCAAAGTGGTCTTAGATGTTTTGAACATATGTGTAGTACTGTAGTATAAGACACTATTGTTGTCATTCAATCTGAACTACTATAAATTAGAACAAAGAAACATCAGAGTGATCTAATAGCCAGTACTGTACTCGTTATCCAGTGCAGTCGGTTTATTGTTAGTAGTAAGAGGCGGTTATAGAGTCAGTGTTTTATGTTTCAAATTGAAGTTATGGTTCTACTGTCTTATAATTGTATTTATTTACATAATAATTATTCATTTTATTTCGTTTTAGGGTAAATGAAATATTATTTGATCACATTTTGTAGGGAAATGGACATGAGCGTGACTTCCTGGATGAGAAGCGAGTATTCATTATGGATATGTATAATCGCTACATCTATCCTGGAGATGGATTTGCCAAAAGTGAGTGCTACCAAAATAAAAGTACTATCTTTTTTGTTTTCTGAGATTCCTTTCATTAGGTAAAATTAACTGAAAATAGCTTATGTATTGCTATTTTTCCAGCAAATGTCTGTGTAGTTCTCAGTGTAGTCTTATTTTTTGCTGCAAACTGAAGGTTTGAAGCCAAGACTTCCTCACATCTCTGGTCAGAGGTTGAAATTGGACTGAAATAGTCTCCTTCTTCCTCCTCCATTCTATTGTCATATAAATTATTCTGTGATTTCCCAAAGTATCATAACAAAATGTATTAGAATTCAGAATGAAAGCTACTACACAGAAGCCCCTGTACCACCAGAACCACAAAAAGATATTTTAATGCCATTAATTGCTGTTGTGACATCTTTCTCTCTAACCTATACTGTAACATACAGGGAAAAGGAAATTCTTCCCATCCTTCAAAAATATTTTATTGAATGCACTTAATGATTCCCTCCCTTCTACCTAAAGAGTGTAAAATCACAGCATATTCTGGTTTGTTTAAGATAATCCACTGAGAGTCAGTGTGACGATTTTCGGAGAAAACACGTCCAGAAAAAGAGCTTTTAATTCTTCATGAAAGTGTTCGTCAAACACAAACAGAAACTTAGTTTTACGTGCTTTACATGTGCTTTGCAGGTTTTCCAGTTTAATTCTATTTGAACTCTGAAACATGAAGGTCCCCTAATGAATCCTTTTCATCATTATAATTACTGTACATTGTAATTAAAGTGCAACTTGCAGGTTAACTACCCGAAGTGTTAGAGCACGCAGAGAGAAGGGAGTTGGTCCTCAGTATATGAAGAGTAAAAATGTTTATATTAATTTAGCTTTATTAATGTAGTTGTTTTGGTTTTAGTTAGACAAGAAGATTCAAGATTTTCATAAACATACCAATAAAGACAAACTTTAGGTCCTAAAAGCAAATCAAGAATGAGCGTCGATCAGCATTGAACAAAAAAATAAATAAAAAATCATGTGGAGATCTGTCAGAAAACCATATTTAGATAAATACGTATCACTTGTTTTGGCATCTGTGCTGTGTGGTGGATGCATAATTTCTTGTTTTAATTCCATGTATCATCAGGAGCCATAAAGAGGAAGGTGGAGCTGGACTGGGGTACCGAGGACTCTGAGTATCTGCAGAAGGTTGAGCTGCACTCAGAGGGATCTCTGAATGAGCTCCATCCTGATATCATTGTTTACAACGCAGGGACGGACATCTTGGATGGAGACCCCCTGGGAGGACTCTGCATATCAGCCCAGGTACTTTGACATCTCTAAGAGCTGCTTTTTTGTTGTTGTTTATTTCAGTTTTCCAGCCTTTACATAAGCAATCATGAATCTACATCCACCCCTCACAAAATGTAACCTTCTTTATATTTTGCCGTTGCAGTTTGCATGTTATCTAATGGCACAAACGTGTCTCATTGAAGAATAAGAATTCAACATGATGGACGCCACAATTACAAATGTCTCCGACTGGAGTTCACAGGCACTCGTTCTCCCAGACTTATCTGAGATTACACTGTCTGTTGCCAAAAGTACTGGAGGAATTCTAGTTTTTTGTTGGTGTGATACTTTGTTCAAATACTTAGATATCACAAAAAAGAGAGTAAGAGTGGATACAAGTGGTTTGAAAGGAGAGTCAAGGAAAGGGTGGCCTTATGGACTCAAAGAAAGCCACACAGTTTCACTGGTACTGAGTTGAGAACGTCTTCACACAAAGAGGGCTAAGCATCAGAACTGACACCATATGGAAACCCTCTCTAGGTATAGCACAGTGTAATTAACTGCAGAAATGTATTTCTCTTTGCATTCAAAGAAACATTGTCCAGTCAGTTGCTAATGTAAGATTTGAACATACCAGTTCCTTGTGTCAGGATCATAATACCAGTTCTTACCAGGAAAATGATTTGCTCAAAGTAGAATCACTAAACTGTGCTGTAATGATATGTATATACTGATATACAATGACAAATAGAGGAATACAGGTCACAGAATTTCAGCTTCCTGGAGTCAATAGAATCCCTCTTAATATCTGTTTATAAAAGTTGTCTTTGGTGTACAGAAAACGGCTTGTACAGACTATAGGAACGGATACAACGTGGTCATTTCTGAGAAAATTAACACTGTTTTCAATTTGTGACTGGGTTGTTTGGGTTTTGCATTGTTAATCAGATTTGTTAGGAACGCTGATTGGTTTGCATTTGTTGGTAGAGTTATTTGGATCCTGCTGCTGATGGGGCACAGGTTGGAGGAAAGAGCTGGTTGCTAAGCAGCATTCACCACAAAGTTCCTTTCAGTTCAGTCACTGCTTATGTGCCGAAAAAGTGGCAAGTATTTATTTTTTCATGCATGTCTTATTATGTCTTATTGCCCATTGCCTGCAAAACAGCAGGCTAATGAGGGTACTATCAGCACAGCTCACTTTTATTTAGGCTAAAAGTTCCATGAAGCTTAACTTCGTTTAAAGACCCAGTTCAGATGTGCGTGTGAAATCTCATGCATTGTGACTCGGTTCAAAATCTTCCTCCTTAATCTCCTTAATTCATTTATTTTTCACTCCAGCTTTTTACCCTCTTTATCCATTGAAAAACTGTGATGAGTATTTCTTTCCAGTACCTTGAATATCTCCAACAGTTGTCAGTCAGACAATTTCCAGGCTTTTCCTGTGTCCCCAGGGTGGAAAGTGAGCATAACCGAAATGAAAACCATGAAAGAGTGTCTCCTTTTTCCTTCTTTCTCCCTGCCAGGGCATTATTAAGAGAGATGAGATTGTGTTCAAGGCAGCGAGGCGACGGGGAATTCCCATACTTATGGTGACATCCGGAGGATACCAAAAGAAAACGGCCCGGATCATTGCTGACTCCATCCTCAACCTACACCGACAGGGCCTGATAGGAGCCGAGGCAGTGGGGGAGGGGTCATCAGCCCTGGTCAAACACATGAGGAGTGGCCCTGGATCTGCTGGGTCAACACTGACCTCTGTCTGAGGAGATAATACTCAAAGGTGTGGCCTTTAAAGGCTGAACAGTGAGGATACAGTGCCATTTGTGTTGTTACACAGAGAGATGCTATTCCATATTAATGAGGAATGCAAATAATCATATATTTACATATATTTTGTAAACTGATGCATTTTTTTAAGTTGAAGTTGGAATGATCACAGAGAAAAAATGTAATGGAATAATAGACTTCTTATGGCTACATTCATTTCTGTAATGTCTCTGCCACGAGCAGAATTTTCTTCAGTTTGAGAGAAATTAGTCTTTCTTTTAATGCAGTTTTAGTTCACATCTCAGGAAATTTAGCAATATAATTTATTAACCTCATGATAAATAAAAAAATGTATATACTCACCTCTAAGGTGCTATTATATTATATTATATAACTATTGTGTCAGTTTTTGATGGAGCTGCAAGTGAAAGAAATTGTGTATTGAAAAATAATATTAATGTTATAAAAATGTCATAGGGATTTAACACACCATCAAAAGATACTTTTTTAATGTCATTAACATTAAACATTTATTCATTTGTAATGTGTTTATAATACAATACTTAAAGTAACGATGCACTTTAAATCTTCTTTAACATCTACAGTTGATATTTACAGGGAGGTACTGATGAGATTTGGGTACAATGTAGAACATATTTGATACTCCAAAATGTGACTCAGCACTTTAATTGTTAAATGGTGGGAGTGAAAATTAAACTAACTTAATTCCACATTCTTGTTACAGTGTGTTGGTGTTAAAAAAACTACTTTTTTTGTGAAAAATGAGAATGACATGGAACTCTACTAATGATGTTCAGTAACTTTAAGGAGAAACATTCAGGTCAAGATGATTAATGTAGAAGCTAAAGCGCCCTAACATCCAGACACAAAGAACTTTGTTCAACACATTCAATACAAACGATATATGTAGTCCTAAACCATCGGTAACTTTTAGATGAAAAACTGAAACAATATTTTCTCACTGAAAGATTTACGGCTCACACCGACTCACGCTGAACCCAACTCCCTATAAAATCAGATCATTCACACTCAGGAGTTCAGGGAACTCGACTTTACTTTTGGATAGTATATTGTTGACCTGAGTTACGCGTTTTCATTTAAGTGTATGTTGAATGTTCAGGTTTTAATAACTGCATGATGGGAGCAGACACTTTGGGGAAACATTAACACATAATATGCATTTATTTTCTCCTTTTCATCACATTTTCTTCCAAATCTAAAGACGCTGTACCAATATTCAACAGAGGCGAAAAGAGTAACTTGATGATAGCACATTTCGCAGCTCTCACAGTCTGAAACATGCCGGTTAAATAGATTTAGTCAAATCTCTTCTCATTCAGTTGCAACAGACTCTATTGTAACAATGTTGTGGTATTTCCAAGGTTTACACAGTTTGAATTTGGTTTGGATGAAAAAATATTCATTTCTGAAATCTGGAACTATCCCTCTTTTTTGGATTAGGTAATATGCCAATGTTTAATGTTACCCTGAATATCAAAAATAGATTTAATAGGGAAAATTCCTCTTCGGACTTTGTCTGCTGGTTTTGCCTGTGAAAGAACCTGAAGTACAGAGAGCAGGCGTTCTCATCATGATTCTGTCTTTTCTTTATCTTTATCTTCCTCCGCTTTGGCTTACAGTTCAAAATAAAGTTAGAGAAATGGGGACTATAGTGCAGACTCATAAACACTGAGAGGATCACACATCCTGTCTTTGAATAGCATGAAAAGCTGCGATGGGGTTCATTTCTCATAAGATGCTTAGACATGGTCACAAATAAACTGGATGGAGAGTTTAGTTTAGTTTTAATGAGTCAGATTTGTTGTGGTGTTACCACAGTTCCATCTCAGATGCTCAATCATCGGCTATTTTCTGTGTTCAGCTTTTCAGCAGTTTGAGCTGACTGAAAATAACACTGTACAGTATTGTTTGTTTGTTGCATAGTTTGTTTGTTTGTGGATGACGTTGACATTTAAAACTACATCTATGCATTCAATATGACCCATGATAAATTCGATAACACGCAAAAAGTAATCTGCGATGTTCTTTTTTATTTATTAGTTTAATCCTTGGCCTCAATTTATAATTTAAGTCCAGTCCATGTTTACTTTTTGGAGGAATATGTAGTAATGTAAAAAACAAAAACAGATCAGTGCATATCAGACAGCTTATTGAATAACTCATTTTATATTCTACGATACACAATAACAGTTTTTTTTGCCATGTCTCCAGACATGTCAAAGGTGATAACTGTCAAAGACAATATGGTCTCACCAACAAAAAGCTTATTTTCAAAGAATAATTACTTTAAAAACTGCTATATCTTGGCATAGTGGGCAGAGAAATTGTGCAAGTATGAAATTAAATACGATATATTGGTTAATAAAAGATATAGCTAACAGAATCTGAAACTAAAATTTATATTAAACTCTTTTCCTGATAGTTTATCATGTTACAAGGATTGGTACAGAACTGTTCTTCAAAACTTTGATTTTTTTTATATGTATTCAATCTTTAAACAGATCACTCAATGGCAATAAAAGATTGAAATGGTACTTCTTTGATGGAAAACAAGGTTGTAGACCCAACGGAGGTCAGTGAGATGTCAGTCCACCAAACCTGCTTATTTCCAAAAAGGAAATATGAGCACTTTGTGTAGGTATGAGTGCATGTGAAGACTTTATTCCTGCATCTTTATGTCAACAAGCAGCTGTGATAATAAAAATGTGGTTGCCATGAGAGCTAATTCATTAAATATGCATGCTGCTACCTTTGCTGTTCAACAGAATGATATTTTCTAGTCACTAAACATAGAGACTAATGTAGGTGAGAGATGCTTTACAAACTAGAAGCGGGACCACTTAAGCTTCTTTTGCATGGCCAAATTACCATGAGGTATGACAAAGAGCCAATTGAATTAATGAGCTTATTTAAATGTTCTCTAAATGGATTTGTGCATATTTAAGAGAGGTTGTGCCAGTTAAAGGTTATTGCGGTGGGCAGAACCTCCAACATAATCAGTAAGTGTCCTAACGAAGTACGGGAAATTTTGTAGTCACTGCATTTCCCAAAATGTATCCTCTTACTCATGCATATTCTGTGATAGTACAAAGAAACCTTGAAAGAATATTCATTAGACCTGAATCCCTGGAGGTTTGTCTGGCCCTTGAACACGTTCCTGCCAGATAAGAGTACTTCATCCATGTTGTCATCTTTCCAGATGAGCCCACCAAATTCAGGTATAAGCATCATGTTTCCAGCCAGGAGTCAAGTTAAGTTAAAAGTGAAAAAAAAAATCAGTAAATGGTCTTTATGTTTCAAATATATACAGTACATACAATTCAAGGACATCTTTTATTTTTTTAAAAAAAATTAAGTGGCACAACTAAGTTAGAACATTTATTTTTACCTTTGAAAGATCTTCATTTACAGAAAATGTAAAAACATCATTGTTAATGGTAAACTTTCATTTTTGTCTAAAAAATATTTATTATACATTTGATAGAGTTTTTAAGGAAGTTAATCACAGAGTTACGTTCTGTGAGATGTGAGATACTCCATGACTGACTACTGTGGGAAGAGAATTCTCAATTTACGTGACCAAATTAGAATCTATCACATAACTAAGACTTAAACTAGACCAGTCCCTTTAATCCCAATAATCTACAGCATAACATTGTGATTGCTCGTATCAAATGCAGCATTTAGCTTGAAAGGTACCAGAACAGACTCAAGTCCACAATGATAGGGCTCAGAGCAAATCATTGGTAACTTTCACCTGCTTTCACTTTCACCTGAGCTATTTGAAATTTTCCTGAAAAGTCTGTGATTAAGTCAAAAACACAAGTCCATGGTTTTAAATAGGCCATTTTTGTAAGTTTAGAGAGATAAACTGAACAAAAATAGTTGCAAATAAGATTCTAAAGATACTTCTTGTTGAAGTATTTGGTAAGTATTAGCTCAGTGTTAATGGTGGAATATATTCCATTAATCTTTTCTCTGATAGAAACAACGTTTTTGATAAAGAAGGTCTTGAAAAGTTTCCTGGGCAATGTAAGCAGTTTATATAACACATACTATGTACAGAAAGCGCTTGCTTAAAAGATTAAAAAGGAGAAATGCAGAGAAACAGAAAGAGTAGAAATAGCAGAAATTAGGTTAGGATAAAAAGAAATAAAGTTATTGATAAAGTAGATCAAAGTGAAGAGTGCAGATAGAATACCTTCAGTTATATACACAGCTAAAAATATATATTTTAAGGCTCGATTTAAACGATTTAGGCCTGTGTCACTCCTTCAGGAAGACTGTTCCAGATTTTACTGTCACTACAGAGATTTAGAGGAAAATATGGCTCAGCAGAGCTAAAACCAATCAAAGATGTTTGGTGTGAGGGTGCAACATCACCAGCCCACATTCTACGTGTTATTGTGCGACATTTTTCATGAGTGGGTAAAGAGGCAGAGGCTATAAGAACACACAAAAACAGAAAATACAAGAAACCCCTTTATTTAAAAATCACAGAAACCTTTACTGACCAAAACTTGGTCAACCAACAATACTGGTGGCGAAACCACCAACCAGACTACTAGGGAGGGGATATATTTCTCACTATATTTGCATGGTGAGAAACGCGTGGAAGGTGTGGATATCTACACAAATGTTAGGGTTCTCCCCAGCAGAGAGACTGTTGACATGTACCAAACCACAGCTCAGATCATCTGCTCTGTTTGGGGTCTCTGGGGTGAAGTGAGGAAAAGGTTGGAGACAGAGATGGACAAACAGATTGGGCTTTTTCAACAATAAATTATGCTCCTGGAGTGAAGATGGAGAATAAATGCAATGTGAATTTACTGGTCAATCTTCGTTCCAATCTCCCCTATAAATTGGATAGTTCCCAAAAGAATGACATTGCATACAGATCGAAATCCATGAGGCTCAAATGGGGTTTGAT